AAGCCGAGTACCGTGCTCTATCGGCTGCTGCAGCAGAGGTCATGTGGCTCACATATCTGTTTGACATCTTGAAGGTTAAGCTTCCTCCACCACATCTTTACTGTGACAATCAGTCTGCCATTTGCTTAACCAAGAATCCGGTATTCCACAAACGCATGAAACACGTCAATACCGACTGTCACTTTGTGCGAGAGCAGGTTATTGCAGAACAAATGACCGTTTCACACGTCCCATCTCATGAGCAATTGGCAGATCTTCTTACCAAAGCTTTGCCGTCTCCACGCTACACCACACTGGTTTCCAAGCTTCCACTAGTTTCACGACGTTCAGCTTGAGGGGGGATGTTAGACATTAGAATTCTATTCCTAGCAGAAGTTGTAATAGCTAGATATCTTCCTAGAGGAATCCTACTCATATTAGGATCTCCACCTATATATATTCCCATGTATCCTCCTTTATTTCCTTGAGTAAAATCTATTGTTTCATAAAATTCAACAAAGTCATTTTGAAATATAATTTCAAAAAATCATGTTTTTATGAGGAGGTAATCTTACACTCTTACTTTGGTGTAAGATTGTGACACCAACTCAATTAGCATCCCCTCGGATCCCAAGATTGACGGTTCCTACACCAGTCAATAATGCAACCTCTCCAATTGCACCAATTACGGAGTATATTTTATTGACTTTTGGGGTGAAAATTTTGACCAAATTTTGGGTGGTGCAATTGGAAGAGGTTCCTACACCAGTCAATAATTTTGGTTGGAGGGGTTTACCGGTGCTTAAGGGGGTAGGAACTAGTGATTTTGGGCTTCGAGCATGTTAGGGCGCCAAATGAGCTCGTGTCACAATATTATACCCAATATTAATGGTGTAAGACTACCCATTCTTCATATCTTTATACTTGTGTTCCACATAAAGATTCCACATTGGTTCAAGCTATATTTTGTTTTATAGAACATTTAACGTGGTTTTTAAATATGTAATTGTTAATTTATAATTTTACTTCAATTTTCATATAAATTGAATTAAAAATAATTTCAGTAAAATATGGTAAAATGAAGCTATAACTTTTTGATATGGGACAAAGGGAGTAATATTGAGTTTTACAAAAATAATGGAATAGGCCAAATGCTCTCATCATTTGGTTTGTAATTCTAAATTCCCAACTTCTTTACTCTTCCTAATTTCTTCCGACTTCTTTTGGTTTCTTTCAACTCAAGTTTTTCCAAACTCTTCAATTTTTTTCTGATTCATTCAACTCTTTTCAATTTTTTCCAATTCATTAGTTTTGAAGGTCCAATCAAGTCTTGAGGAAATTTGTGCTCTTGAAAAACTCAACAACTTATAAAGCTATTTTCCTCGTTGCTTATGTGCACAACATTTTGATTACAATATTACATGTATTGACTATGAAGGAAGTTCCAATCAAACAACAATTTTGAAAACATTTTTGAGAAACGATATAGAGAGATTAAGGGTCTGTTCTGTTCAACTTAATTTTTCAATTTATTACTTATTTTTTAAAATCATATTAGACTAGATCAGATCTTATATCTAATCGATTAAATAATCTAATCAGATCATAAATTGCTTTAAATATAACTACAATCAAATCAGATTCAATCACATCAGATCAGAGCAGATTAGATCTAAGCAGATCAGATCCAATCAGATCGGATGAGACAAGATCTTTAAAAAATCAGATCAGGCCAATGGAACGCAACCTAAGATACATTCTTGGTATTGAGTTTCAATTCAAAATAGGTATCTCAGAATGTCAAATGAAGCATGCACTTAAAATCTTGAAGAAAACTTATCAATGATTTTTTAACATATGGATCCAAATACTTAACATACACTAGACCAAGGGTGGTCCAAAATTGTATCACATACTCAGGGCAAGCTAAATCATTTGACCAAAACCTAACTAGGTATAACTTTGCTGCTTTGCAACAAATGTTGTGATTCAATGTCTTAATTCTCATAGTGAATGTCATGGAAAGTAGTCATCTGCATTTAAAAAAATCTTAGTCTCTAGGATCTATATGAGAAAAAAATCATTGTAACATTATTGTTTATTTAGAAATAGAAGAATGTCATTCTGACATCTGCATTTTAAAAAATCGCAGTCAACTTTTTGTTTATTGTGTTTTCATTGGAGTTAATCTAATTTCATAGATAGAAGCATCATGTTGTAGCAAGATGAAGTGCATAGCTCTCACCGTGTGTCATACTGTCATTTGGTTCAAGTATTTACTCCACAAGCTAAGATATTGCAGAATAAGCTTAGTGAACTTAATTTTTGGTACTCAAGCAGCTATACATATTGCCTTGAATCCTACTTTTCATGAAAGAATTAACAATATAGAGCTCATCATCATTTCGTTAAGGGTCTGTTTTGGTTGGAAGGGAAGGGGGGTGGGGGATGAGAAGAATTTTAGAAGTATTTTATTTGCTATCCTTCCTTTCATTCCCCTCCCCTCCTATCCCCTACTACCAAACACAACCTAAGGACACGATTCTATTCAAGGAATCAACATGTCATTTGTCACTTCCAAGACGAGCTTCTTTGAACACGACCATTGTAGCGAAAGTGAGTCCTTACGCAGCCAAAGCCTAGATTCCTAGACAATGGTAGTGTTGTTCTGTATAGGCGCGCGCACACACACAGAGAACAAATTTCAAAATACAAATTAATACAATCATATTATGAAGTACTAAAATAAAATTACAGAAATAGATCAAACGATAATTACAAAAATATAATAATGCTATATTATTCGGAAGAGAGAATCTTGAATTATACTTCCTCTGTCTTAGAGTATTCGTCATGTTCGACTTTTTTAGTCAAATTGTACAAACTTTGATCATTAATTAAATAACATTAATATTGCATATTAATACAAAAATGAATTCATAATATTTATCTTACAAAGAACTTGCAAAGCACTATTTCATTGTATTAATATGCAATACATTTTCATTTCATTGATGAAACTTCGATGTCAATTTGGACAAATAATCTGGTTTGGGTGGATTACTATCTTATCAAATTCGAGATCCGTTTTCAATCAATAAAATTATCAATGGAAAACGAACATGCAATTTAATCAAACATTCAATTGGCATTTAACTTGTTTTTTGTGATGCAAAGTCGTTTATATAAATTTGCACTCAAGTTTTTGACACCAATTATTTTTCAATAAAAATGATCATCAATCCATTTAATTTTTCTTTTGACATTGTTGAACGTAAAAATGATTTTATCAACATCATTTTTGGAAAAAAAATCATTGCTGAAGCAATTCTATTTCTAATATGTATAGTTAACATTATTATACAAGTAATCCAAACATTTTGAGATGAATCCAATTTTTAAATTTTAATTTAAATTAACTTTTAATGGTTCTTTTATTTCATTTAGAATTATTTCTTTTAAAACTGTTGACCCAGAAAATAAATCCAACCCATTAAGATCATATGATGTAATGTGATATAATATGTATTGCTCAAATCTACCACTAAATGATACGATGGATTAATCAATAAAGTATTTTCTAGAGACTATTTGTATTTAAAATACTAAAAATAAATTGGTCTAAGTCTACTCTTCTATTAAAAAATGAGGCACTAAACAATTTGAGGCCAAGGGATAGGCCTAGGTTGTGGTGTGTGCCTATAGCTAAGGCTGAGCTTATTTACAAAGTTATCTACATATGTAATAAGCTTGGTGCTTGTGAAATGTATGCACCAATTTGAGGGGGAGTATTGATATAAATTATGTATATACTCCCTTGTACCCAAATTAAATTCATAGTTTGACTTCATGAAGTTTAAGAAAAGTGTTGAAAAGTGAAGAGTGTGGTTGAAGTTTGTTTAGAAGAGAGAAATATTGTGAGCCACATTCTTTTTTTAAGGTGAAATGAGAGAAGTGTGAAGCTTATTTTGGGACGGGGGGAAGTGTGAATTGAATTTGGGGATGGAGGGAGTGAATATTAAATATTTATCTTTGCCGCATGTAAAACAGCTATAGGCTTTGCCTAGGTTTGCTTTCCTCCTTACTTTTCTACTCCCTTTATACTAAGTCCTTTATATCAGGGACTGGTCACTGACAACTCTAATTAGCTCCCTTATTTGCACACATGACCTACAATGTGTCTAGATTAATATTTTCTGATTTTCAAGTGGAAGTACTGTAAAATGATGTTATGCAGGCTATGGAACAACTTCTTATATAGCCTTTGAATTTCAGGGTGCTCGTATAATGTCAGTAATCTTTATTCTATAATGGATTTGTTTTTTCAATACTAGACTACTAGTAGCAATTTCTGCATAACTCATTTTCTCCAATATGACCCGCATTGCCACCTTTCTGTTGCAGATGTCAGAATTGCTTAATCAGAAATCATCAGTGCAGGCAAAAGTCCCATCGGGCTATCTAAATGCAATTTTTGACTTGAGTGGATCATGGCTGAATGATGCTTCGGATGCCAAATATCTTGGCTTTGATGGTTATTTTGTGTCATTATATTATTTGCACTTGACCACAGCTCCACTACTACTTCAAGACCAAGTGAAAAATGATGTTCCACCGCATTGGGACCCATCATTGTTATCTAGGTAGGTTCTGTAAATTTGTATGTTATCTTGATAATCCTTATAAAAAGAATTAATTCCTCAATGCTGTTCTTAGCGGAAATGCACCAATTGTGTAAGGAGTTTTAGAGGAATATTACACGTGTTTTAATGATTTGACTGAGTTTTCTTAAGCTATGTGTCATGTTAAAATGCCAATAAAATGTGATCGATGTGGTAGGTAGTAGCTCTACTGCTTGGCATAGCTTTGAGGAAGAAATTAGCCCTCTAAAATATTTAGATTGTGATACTATTAATTACATGTAGTTATTGAGTAAGATTGAAAGAACATTGCTTAGACACCTTAATCATTATTGAAACAGGAGTTCCTTCTATTAACCAACATGTAAAAGTAGTTTTGGATATATCTAGAGCCTCTACCACCATGCACTTCTCTTAGTCATATTGTTGAGATTGGTGCAACATGAACATTTTCTATATAATTAGGTATTTCACTTTTAACAAAAAAGATATGAACTGTTTTTGTCTTCTGATGTCATGCATATAAATTAAATTTATTGCATAGGAGATTGCATTTGTTCATGTAGCTAATTAACTATTACTTACTCGCCCTAATTTAAAAGGGATCACACATGTTGGCTGTTGCATGGCTCAAATCATTTAAATCCAATTTAACTTTTAAAATAAATTAAGGGAAAAAGACTAAAGGAGGAGTAAAACATAAAAAATATGCCAAAATAGGAGTTCCATGTTTTTCCCCCAAAATAGGAGTTAAAATGCATATACAATGCCAATTATGCCAATGTACAATGCCAAAAAGTATTGTCAAATGTCCGCATACTGTGCCACATTATCATAGTGCAAACTCCAATTTTAGTAATAAAACAATGAAGCTCCTATTTTGGTACTTTATCTATGTTTTACTCCTATTTAGGGTGATTTCTTATACATTAAATTGTTTGTGAATAGAAAAATTAAAATTATACTCCCTTTGTTCTGAATAAGTTCCCCTTAAGGTAACAAAAGGTTTAAGATAGATATTAAATGGCCTATATTATATCAAAATATAGATCGTGCCTTAGATTTTGTATTTAACATTTGAAAATAAGTAACCATGGATGTGCATTATTTGGAGTACCCATTGAAACTATATATGCATACATATATACACACCCATGCCAGCCACGCGCACACAGTGTGTAATGAGATGTGTGATATTTATACTCTCCCTAATGTTGTGTATATCATCTATCCTTGGTAGCTATGAATCTATGGTTGCTAATTATCCTACTGTACATAGATTCATTCAGACTTATGGGACACACATAATTGTGGGGATGGGCATTGGAGGCCAGGATTTACTCTGTGTTAAACAGAAACCATCTTCATCTATTCCACCTGCTGAACTCAAAGGATATTTGGATGATCTTGGTGATTGTCTATTCTCTGATGGAACAAGTTCTCTGCCAGAGACAAGTAGAAGAGATGGTAAAATAAAGGTAATATTCATATGTAGTAGACTAGTTTTGGCTTCTTTTTTGATAGGTGCAGTTGTGTACATGTAATGTGTGCTTAAAGAAAAGTGTGAATTTAATCAGTGCTCTAACTCTTTAGGTACCTGAGGTATTTAGCCGCATGTTGCAGTCACATACAATGCAATTCACTAGCATCACTGAAACATCTAGCAAAGATGTAAGACACCTGTGACCTTATATTATTTTAAAAAATGCGACAGATGCTTATGAGATGGCTGTATCAGGGTCTCACAATTATATGGTCAAAACGAGGAGGTGATGTATTTGCTCAAAGCCATTTGAAATGGCTCCAGACCCTGGCTGCTAACCCAGAAGGAATTCTCTTCAAACTTGTCCCAATTACTTCTCTGCTTGCTGGAATTCCTGGGAGCGGATACCTCAGTCATGCAATAAACTTGTACCTTCGTTGTAAGCCTTACAAAGTATTCTACATTTCTTTGAATTTACACACTCATGCCTTTTTTTATATGTTGTCTGCTCTGCTCTAGTTTTCACACACTATTTTTCCAATCAAATACCTGCCACATGCTATTGCTTGATTATCAAGAACATTGGCCAACTAATGTTGAGTCTGATGTCTCTTAACTAATGACCAACCATACTTGAATACACATTTAGGGCCCTTTTGGTGAGTGCAACAGGGTTAAGATGATATGAGTTCTGGAATACAACATTACCCCAGTGCCTCAAAGGTTCCCGCCCATTGCGGGGTAAGGGGGGGGGGGGTCGGATGTATGCAGCCTGACCCCTATGTTGTTATATATAACCTAGAGCGGCTGTTTCCAGATGACCCATGGTGAGCGTCGAAAGTTGCATTGACTAACTATCACTCCACTATCAAAAGAAGCACAAATAGTTCAAGAGTCATTTTGCTTTATTCATCTTACTCCAAAGCCAAATAATAGTGAATATTTGGCTCCACCAGAGAAGATGGAAGAATATGAGTTCTGAAATATGGATGAAAAAATATGAGTCTGGAAATCTTAAAAGAAAGTGTTTGGAGAGATCTTAAATCTGATGTGGTTGTTAGTGACAGGCAGGGGGTGGCCAGGGTAGCCAGCAGGCAGTAGGTAGCCCTGGAGGCAGGTGGCTGATGACAGTGGGTGGCCGGCAGCAGGTGGCTATCTGTATCTGTGGTGGCTGGCCGTTGAGGGATATCAAAACCCCGGATTGATATCTCCTAATATCGCGAGATATCAAAACCCCTCATTTGAGAGGGTTGTGACATTGAAAGATATCAAATCAGAACCCCTTTTAGGCTTCACCAAACACCATGCAAGGTTGATATATACCCATATCTCCTGCCCTCACCAAATGGGCCCTTAGTGGTTAACATTGGTCTATGCTATCACAAAGTGATTCAAGATCGCCCCCAGGGCATAGCTAGCGGCGAACACCCAGAGTGGTGTTACACCTGCCAAGCTGACAGTCTGCGGAGTGGGGAGTTCGATTCCCAGGAAAGGCTGTGGAATTGGCTCCCTCGTAGGTGAGATCAGTGCGCAAACTCTGGGACCAGACCTGACGGTCTAAAAAATCCCGCAATTTTCCTCCCCTACCATCCCCGAGGGCACGGGCACTGGGGACCCGTGGGGTGGGGGTTCCACCCCCAAAAAGTGATTGAGGATCAGAAAAAGGCTACAGTCCCGGCTGGTCCAGACTAGGACTGTGTCTGCCCTAGGCTCATGCTTTATGATGCTTTATGTTGACAACATTATGATTTCTGTTTAGTACTGATTGGATCCTTTGTCTATTTGCGAGACAAACCTGCACTGGAGGATTTACAGTATTTTCTCGAGTTCCAAATTCCTAGACAGTGGGCACCTTTATTCTGTGAGCTGCCACTAGGGCATCAGAGAAGAAAGGTCTCATGCCCTTCATTGCAGTTTAGTCTCTTTGGTCCAAAGATTGAAGTGAACTCTATTCAGGTAACTTTATAATGAGTGTTCTGAGTTCCAAAATAGTTTAAAGGTCAGGGTAATTTCTTGACGGCATTCATTAAACTATGCCATCATGGATTATACACATCATCTTTCTCTGAGATTCGATAAGAGTAAATTGGTACATATTACGAGTGACACGGTGGCATGTCATTTTGAAATCTTATAGGTTTCGAGTTGTCAAAAACCAGTTGTTGGCATGCGCCTATATTTGGAAGGGCAGAAGTGTAACAGACTAGCAATACATGTGCAACATCTTTCAAGTCTACCAAACATTTTTACACAAAACCTGGCAAACCCTGGTGCAACCAAGGCATGCCGATGGCGAGGCTCTGATGACTACCAATGCAGCGATCAATTCTTAGAGGCAGTCAGATGGAAGAGTTTTGCAAAGGTGTGCTCGTCAGTAGTCAAACACGATCCGAACTGGATAGATGCTTTGGATTCCAGTGGCGGGGTCTTTGTGGTGACCGGGGCCCAGCTCATCAGCAAGGGAAATTGGCCAAAGCGACATCTTCATCTCCGTCTACTCTACACACACCTACCCAACTGCAGCATTCGCAAAACAGAGTGGGCTGCTGCACCCGAAGCTTCTCGCAAGTCAAATTTCCTAACAAATCTGAGCACAACATTCACACTCACCCAACGAACAGTCACCGATGCAGCTCCTAAGCTTGCAACAAATATTAACTCTGGCGTGTATCCTAATGGACCCCCAGTGCCCATTCATTCAACAAAGCTTCTCAAATATGTCGATACAACTGAGGTTGTACGTGGACCAAGTGATGCTCCTGGGCATTGGTTGGTGACTGCTGCTAAGTTGGTTATCGAAGGTGGGAGAATCGGTTTGCACACTAAGTTTGCATTGTTAGATTATATGGAGGGGTGATATAAGCCATAATACGGAGCAATACATATACAGGTTGCAGAGATTTCTTTGCCTTTCCCAGCTGCTGTACATTTTCAAGCAAACTGGCTTTCGAGTGTTTGTGACAATACATTTCAGGGTGAGAGACTCACATCAAAGAGGAAAATATGATATAGTTTTGCACATAAGGTAAGGTACATATTTGGTTTGGATTTCATACAAGATAAAGGTCATTTTCACATTGGAATTTGAAAATCTTGTTTTTGTTCTGGCTTCCCTGCACGTTTCAGGATATGAATCGAATGGTTGATACTTCTGTAAATCTTAACCAAATGTATCAGTGACAAATCTCAATTATCTTTTGCTATTTTTTTTTAGAGTTCCTAGTTTATGGATTGGGGTGCAAAAACGAAGATATTAAGGAACTGTCAAGGAATAAAAGCAAATAGTAATACTCTTGTAACAATAAGGCCAAAACCCCATTTTCATTGGGTCAATTCCGGATGAGTGTCATTTTAAAAAAACCTTTCCCAACCTAATGAAAGTGATTGTGACATAATGGGCAGTGCTGACTTTTGTCTTTTAGAATTTTCAAACAGTAGATAATCTACCGTTTGGACATAATTTTATTTTTGTAGTTTAAAAAGATTAATTAGATTTTTTGTTGTTTTAAAATGGTAGTAGATTTTTGAAAATAAAAAGATTGAAATTCCCGAAATAGAATACAAAAATGTGAAACTATTAGAGTTCCTTTTTTCCTAAGCAGACTAGAGTTTCTCCTGAGTCGTGGCACATCGAAAAAGATTATCTGAGACGTTTTTGCAACGAGAAATTCAGGGTTTGTTAGGAAACATGGCTTGTTTCTTATCGTCTCCTTAGCAATAGTTGAACCTGAGTTTATTATTTCTTTTGACACAGCCTCTCAACCATTGGAACTACGTCACTCGGACATAAAGCGAAACAAGTGCGGGAGGGGAGGAGGAGGGGTTCGACCTCTCATAAAGAGAAAAGAATAGAAACCTAAATTTTTGTTTACGAATAATGTTCTACTCCCTCCATTCCAAAAAAAAATCATTTTTAAATCATTTTTTCGGTACGTCTCCAAAAAATGATTATCTTTCCATTTTTGAAAGTATTTGTGGCTAACTATCTTTCTGTCTCGCATAATTTTAAACTACATAATTTTATTTTTCTTACACTTTGAATCAAATCATATTAGAATTCGTTTTTGAGACAATGGGAGTATATTTTGTCCATGTAGAACTCTTGCTAGAGCTAGTTTTTTTTCCAAATATGGCTTATAATGGTGATTAACCTTCCATCTTCAATGAGAGATCAACCAAATAAAGAAAGTTGATTTAGTGTGCATTTGATTTGGATTCTTGGAAAAAATGATTCTGAATTTTAGGATGAACTATTTCTAATATGTGAATTCTTTTGAGATGTATGCATTGATTATATAACTAAAAAATTGACAGGTTAAAATATAAATTATTTTCTTCGAAATCTAAAAGATTCTCAAAAGCTAAACAAATTGGGATAAATTTGTTGGTGATTTTATTGTCATTAATTATTTTTTTATAATTGAGTTTACTTAGATCAGACAAGAATTTGAATAGACGTCTAATGAGTTAGGAGGTGCGGAGTACGAACTCGTTCAACGATATTACAAATTCATAACGGGAGTCGGGGTAGTAGCCAAGTCTAAGGGGCGGCAACTCCTGGCGGGGTCCAAGGGGCTGAGGCCGCTTATGGATAAAACGTTTAAATCAATCCTAAAACCACAGAAAAACTTTTCGTGAAAATATCCGTAGACTTTCGTGTCTATCTCTACGCGCGAACGTTCGCATCTTTACGCCAATGCTCATGTTTGGTCTCCAATTTTCAACTCTATAAAAGAGTCTCGCTGGTATGGTTGATGACAAGTTCGAAGTGCAAGCTTTTGATTAACATTTTATCCGATAAAAGTATTTTGATATATCTCGAAATAACTTTGATCTGAAAACGTATACGCGATTCGTTAAACTATCAAATCATTGTTCTGTTTCTCATAGTCTCATGCCCAGTATATTTTAAATAAGAAAACCTTCATTTCTCCCCCCACACCAGTTATTATAAAATAATGTATTTAGATAATTTCGTTTTCATCGGTCTAGCCTGCCTTTTAGAACAAGGAAAAAAACAAAATAGAAATAAAACATGAGGAAAGAACAAAAATAGGTCTCACATGTTTTTATCCTCAAAATAAGACTAAAATTTAATTTTAAAAATTCGTGCTGGTCCATTAAAAAAATCTTGTTAGTCCATATTTCACCGCAGTGCCACAGTGTCAGTATATGATGTGAACCGAAGCTATAATGCCAAAAATAATAATGCATATGGACAAGCATGACACTGAACAATCCCAAACATGTCAGTATATAATGTCAAAACCATAGAAAAATGCCAAACAATGTGATTTACCAACATAAAATCGTACCACACACCACATTCATAAAAGGCAAAATATTGTGACAAGAAATTTCATGTCAAAGAAATAATTGAAAGAACAAAATAATCAAGACAAAATTAGAAAGACAAAACTAAGTATGAATCTAACACAGTAAGAAATCTTATATTGTGTCAACCTAACATTTAAAATGTTCTGCATATCAATACGATTGGTGATTCAACAGGAGCCTTATCGTGCTCCAACAGCAAAGATGAAGAGTGGTGTGGACATAGGTGGAATCGAAAACTGCCTTTTTAGTAAGATCCCAAAAGAGCGAGATCTTACTAAATAGGCACTTTTCTTCCATCTTGATTCCACCTTTGTCCATATCTCTTCCTCTTTACTGCTGAAGCATAAGGATCACAGTCATTCCTTGCGCAATAGGGCTAGTAATGAGGCTTCTTTGCACACATATTGAAAAGAGAATTACTCCTTTATTGTCACTCTAAATTAAAAAAAAAACCTTTAGTAAAACTTGACACAAACCTCAGGATTGAAACACATTTAGACTTAAGGTTTGAAGGGGAGGAAGGATGAGGTCTGATTGTGGATAAGTTTTAACTTTGATGTTTGAACGCAAGAAAGAGTGAAGTGTGAGTGCGATTAGATTTCAAAGTAAGGCTTGGAACGATTTTTTTTAATGCACCTCGGATATCCAAAATTCAAAAATTTCAATCCATATCGGTCCAAAAGTAAAAAATACCAGATTGGATATATTTTTGTTGGTTCGGATCAGGCCGAGTACTAGACGGATTATTAGGGTCGGATATTATGGAACACCCCTAACTTCACCTGCCTACAAAAACAACAATCAATGAAGCACTTGAGGGTTCAAAGCATCAAGTAGTATATTTAAGCCATAACATATAGACACACATAAATGTTTTAAAACCAAACTCAAGCTATAAACTGTTTTTTGAAGTAAACTTTTCTTAGCTGGAAATCTGTCTGACAATCAAAGACCCATACAAGACCGCATATGGCTTCACATCCACCATGAAGGGTTTATTCCTTGTGATATTTAATTCGGTCACGAAAATTGAAGAACGTTGATGAGTTGATGACAACTATGGACATGAAATTGAGAAATGTTTGATTGGCTAAGGAGAACTTGCCTTGTTCGCTCTTTACGTTTGAGGCAGAGGCGTACCGGAATGGCATGGACATAAATCAATAACTCTTTCCCTGTGATCTTGATTCTAAACTTGCAGCATGACGGGACACAAAAGCCTCAACAAGCGGGTTTACAAGGTGAGGCGCCTCATCCTACAGGCGAAGACACGCCATTGAATCCATCAACCAACACTTTTAAACCAGAAGGAATTCCTATTGCAGATCCATACTTGAATAACATAGCAGGTTATGGGAAATGATAGATGTACTCCCATGGGATAATATTCCATTATGTGGGTTGAGGAAGGAAAAGATGTCTGTCAAAAAGTCGTGTTTGAAAACTCTATTTTTTCCCCAAAAATGTGTCACATTTGAACAAAAGAAACCAATTATCATCATATTTGATGTTTTTATGAGAAAAGTGTTCCAAATAGATTGAGTGTGCTGTGGCCTTGTCCTGTATTCAACTTCAGCTCTAGACTCCGGAGTCCAGTTAAAGTTAAGTACTCCCTTCGTACCCAATTAATCTTTTTAGATTGTCCCAAAATAAACTTCCCATTTCTTAAAAAGAATGGAATAAGTGGTCCATATTGATTCTCTCTCTCATCTCCATAAATCTCAACCAAATGATTTCACTTGAACCACGTGAAAAAGTAAACGGGAAGATTAATTTGGGACAGAGGGAGTAGTATAGAACTTTCCCATAATTAAACCAACAAATATGTTTTAAAATATAGTTAAAATTGATAGTTTCCAATAGTTGTACCTTGTGAAAAGGGTTAAATATGTTTTTGGACCCTGTAAAATTAGAATATTTTGTGTTTGGTCCCTCAAAGAAATTCTAATTAAATAATTACCGTAATTTTTTTTCCAATTGGTCCTTCCACCAATTTGGAGCTAATGTTGAATATGTTTCTGGTTCCTCTAAAATTAGCAATTTTGGTTTTGGTCCTCTAAATTTTTTTATGTCCAAAGTGATTTTGTTTTTGGTCACGGTAAACCCTAAAACATTATAATGATTATATCCAGATTAGTTGGATTACCATTTTCAAAAGAAAAAAAAGTTTTACAAGGATGACTTAAATAAAAAAAGTAGAGGGGCCGAAAGCAAAAGTCACTCATTCTATTGGGACCAAAAACATATTTAATCCTTATGAAATTACTTTTGAGAAACATAACTTTTTTTATGGATGGAAAGGGTATAAAGCAAGATTGTGTCCCTTTTAAGATCAATTAATACCACATTGAAAAGGAGCACAAGCAAATAGAGACAAAGCCAGAATACATATAAAAAGATTTGTGGTGCCCTTCAGAGAGAGAGAGAGAGAGAGAGAAGACCTGAGGACAGTGGCCAACATCAGGGAGGACAATAAAATCTTCAACAGTGTTAAATTTACTGTATGCTCTTCCAAGCTCTAAGGGCTCCCATGGATCTTTGTCACCCCAAGCCACTAAAACAGGGCACTGTAAGAAAAGAGCCAACACTACGCTTATCTCCTTTGGATTATACTATTATAGTAAACAAAGTTTAAACAAAATATGCTACCTTAACTAGAGGCAGTAGTTCCTCAGCAAGAGGCCCTCCGGAGTAGCTTATAAACTCAAGAAAGACATCTGCAGCACCGTGTTCAAGCCCTGGACGAAGGATGGCTTCTACTAATTCATCTGTCACCTGGGTTTTGTCATGATAGCACTGCAATACATTTTCCCATGAACAAAAGAAGAAATAACCTAAATGGCTTTGAAAAACTATCAAACACGATAAATATATGTAATATTACAGGTTTACAAGAGAAGAAGTATCTCACATTTGGCTTAGTACATCATCACTGATCATTGTTGTTGTTGCCTCTTTTTTGGGAATTTTTTTTAAAGAATGTGGAAGGGTTATTTTTAAATTAGGTGAAATATATATTGTTTATGATAGTAAAAAAATGGGTAGAATATTGAGTTCAAACTAGTTTCTCATGCCAAAGACCTTGTGGTGCAGCACCATCATGGTGACTCTCAAATGGGAGGTTACAGGCTCCAATCCCAGTAGGGGAGTAACTCTATGTGCTTTAATATGTTGAGAATGTATGAGCAAATACTACATTGTAAGAGCAACTCCAACGGAGCTGCAAAAAATTAAGAGCTAAAACTCCTTTTTAGAGTGTGTACAGTAATTTGAATGCTCACATTTTTGTATGCCCTCCAACCATATCAGTTATTATTCATAAATTTAATATATTTTATTGCTTTTTTACTCTTTTTTGTGAGATAGCTACAAACTAGGCATGTCAGGTTAACACTCGTCCCTCCTACTTTTCACATTTGTTTATTACTTTTTTATTATAGCTTATGAACTTAATCTTCTATATATAGATGACCTAAAGTTAAAACTAGCTCACGGTGTATATTTTTCCTTATCCGTTGGAGCTCAATTTTGTCTACAGTGTAGTGTTAAAACTTTAATTTTTAGACTTCAACAAAATATAGAGGCTCCATTGGAGTTGCTCTAATAGAGTTATTAGTGTTAAAAAAAGTAGTTTCTCATTTAACATCTTTGTTTTGAAATATATTCATGTCAAAACACTATTTGCTTAAAATGGAAAATAGCGCTCTTTCTCTCTCTTCTCCAAAACCTACCTCCCAAACATACCCTTAGGGACAGAAGAAAATAGCCCTCCAACCCCTCTCCTCCAATACCATTCCTCTTGATCATCACTGTTTTGCTTGATTTAATACACTCATTTGTTTGCAATAATATCCTTGGGGTAACTGCACAAGATCCCATGTTTTACTTTCCTGAATTCTTCCAAGTTCCAACTTCTAGTGCATTGCCACAGTCCACAAGGAAAATATCTAAATTGTAGTAGGGGTAATGTCTACATCCACACACCCTCCTCAGACCCTGCTTTTGTGGGGTTCTATGGGGTTTGTTGTTGTTGTTGTTGTCGTCCTTGGAAACAGTGCTTCGAGATTAAGATTATGATGTTATGGTTTTTACGAATCACACATATATAATTCCAACTTGCATAGCTTGAAGGAATCTAAAATTTTATTTGTTCGAACCCAGATCCAATATTTTAACAGCTATGAGAAATACAATAGCTCGCAGCTAACCTGACAAAGGATATTCCGTACAGATTTGGGAGTGGCAACAGCTCTAAAAAACAATTTGCCAATTTCTGTATTCCTGAGAGAAACACTAATTTCACTTCAACTTTCAAAAAAAAAAGAAAAAGAAAAGTTACACAGAAAGATTGAAGACCATAATGCAAAGGAAGACTCCCTCCCTCCAATGGAAAGGGACCCTGGTCCATTAAGGTGCAATTTTTTTTCCAACATATGTAAGCTATCTTGGATGCTTTTCTTATCAAAAGCATCAAATATAATAAAAATTAGCCTGTACTTCAAATGAGTATAACTCTTCTTTTCTTTTTTGGAAAAAAGAATAAGTATTTAAATAGGGTTCTTTCTTAGGACAGAGGGTGTACCATGTATGTTTACAGGGAAAGCTTTTCCACTGTTATTTGTGCTTAAAAAACTACAGTAGAACATAAATGCAAACTTTAATGGTAACCTACTATTAATGAATTGATCATGTAGACAAAGGTCAAATGGAAGCACCTAAAGCATAATTGAAATATAAGACAAGAAATTTATTTAAAACCAAAACACATAAAACAGGTAGCATTTATTTTTTAAGGCATTGTTTATTTGAATTTTGTGATTGGGTCTAAGTCACACGCGGATATTGGTCTAATTAAGCTATTCAATCTAAGTTCACTGCACTTGGGAAATGGAATGTCATCAAAGAAAAAGAGAGGTGTACTACATAGTAGATAACTGATTACATGTGCAAGCCATTTCATTGAAGCCTCATTCCAAACTTGATTTTGCACAGCAGAAAGACTCTCTTAAGCCTAAATGTGATTATTTTCACTTTGGCAAGGTACCAATTAGGGCCAAGGAATGGGAGACAGAAAAGCGGACATGCTGAAAGATTGAGAAAAAATAAAAGTGATGCCTGCTTTTACTGGAAGAAGATCCTACAGACTAGAGATTCCTTTGTGAATATGGATAGATCTATTCCCTATACCCCAAAAATAGGGTATCAATGGCTTTTGGGGCATATGCAGAAGGTTCAATGGTCAGATATGGTTTGGAATAAATATTCCATTCCTAAACATAAATTCATTCTCTGGCTTATTTGTAGAAACAAAATTCAGACCAAAAGCAGATTGAGCAAATGGCTTCCAACTGATACTCAATGCTCGTTATGCCAAAATGCTGTGGAAGACTCAAATCATCTTTTCTGCACCTGCCCTTATACTAAGGAGCTGTATAGGAGAGTCTATGCTTGGAGTCAATACCATTTTGAGGGAGGCAGTATCATTGAAATATTCGAGCAACTTCAGGGTATCGTTCCAATGAAGAAGAGATGGAAGTTAATTGCGATTTTTGCTGCTGGTGTGTATTATATTTGGAAAATCAGATACTTGTCCCTGCACATGAACTCCCTTACATTTGAGTAAGCGGTTTACTGTATGAAGTACCATGTTGGTACTTATTTGAACTCAAAAATTTCATGAATATTTTGTCCTCCTGGTCTATAGCAGTTTGGCAGCTTATTGTAGTTATTTGGCTGGTTCTTGTAGCTGTTGTTTGATCTTGTAGATAGTGTTGGTCTTTGGCTAACTTTCTCTTGGGAATGTTTGTACATTTGAGAGTGAAAATGAAAGGTTATTTTTGGATTGTTCGGACTAAAATGAAAGGAAACTTAAATTATTTTATGCCTGATTAAATAAAATTGGGATTTTCTGGATTATTTAGGTGTTTCATTTCTTTTAAAAGGAAGGCGTTTCAGTCTATTAAATGCAGTAGACTGTAGCCAAAAAGGGGAAAGTGAGTGTAACTCTAAAAGAAAAATTACCTCAGCAAGCTTTGAAATGATCTAATGAAAGGCATTCCATACCAAGGTTGCTTTTTTATGTGTAGCATACGAAGAGAGATATTTAAAAGAAAAATGCCGTTGCATATTTGAGGTTCCTTGACTGCAGCCTGAAGGCCAACAATTCCTATATATTAATGATAGCAAACATCTTATTAGAAAAATTAAATATCCAATTATTACTTTTGAAAGGCTCAAATTGCACACACAAAACATGCCCAAAGTTGAAAGTAACACAAAACATGAGATCACTACATTTCCCAACAAAGTAAAACCCAGTAATAATTCCAAATCCATTGGGGTCTGGGGGTCAAGACGTATGGAGTCTTACCCCTGTAAAAACGAGGATGTTTGTGTTGCACGCTTGATGCATTTACTACCCAAAACTTCATAGAAAATAAGAACAAAATGAAGTTTAACAAGACCACGACATTTCCCAATTCTGGAATATGTTGCCTCATAGAAATGAATCAATAGTCAGGAAGGAAGATACCTCCAATGGAATTGCAGATAAAGAAAGCTTTGTCTCTGACAACAGCGTTGCAAAAATCATTAAGCTGGCTAGCCCATGTCTCAAAGGTGTAGAATGGATCTACAAATTCGAGCGGATCTGGTTTGTCCGAGTAACCATAACCAATAAGATCAATCGCGAACACTCGGTGTGCTTGTGCCAGGACGGGAAGGTTTTTTCTCCAATGGTCACTGTTGAATACATGATAGTTAAGATGCTTATTTCAACATGATCAAGAAAACTACCCAAACATATTTATTTTATCACTAAAAAAGAAAATGCATTTCAAAAGAAACCTGAAGAATGAAAATTTTGAATGAGATTGCATGAATGAGAAAAGAAAAGGAAACCTTATGCTAGTAATGAGGTTTTTCAATTAATACCTATATCAAATAGTTTACTAGAAGCATTCTTGACCTGTTTGCTCCAAAACCATGAAGTAAAACCAGTGCTGGACCAATGCTGCCGGCATACTGATAGCGGATCGAGTAACCTCTCCACTTCCATAAACTGCAAAACAGTGTGTGTGCTTTTAATTGCGGAATACTAGAAAACACGTATACATATATTCTGTGAGCATAAGGACTGCATGATGAATACGGTGGTCTTCTTTTGACAACAACCCTTGTTGTCATAGTATGGCAACAAGGCATACGGTGCTCCGTTCTAAAAACTGACCGTTCCTACTTCACACAAAATTGCTGGGTGGGGGACCGGGCAGAACCATCAATTTTTCGAACAGAGTAATAATAGTAATAATGACACTGAGTAAATCAAGAGTAGGAATGAAGCATGAAGAATGACCTGGTTTTGACCTCAAACAGGGATGGATTCGTTTTGGGAGCATCATCTACAGAAGAGACTTTGTTGATTGAATTGAAGATGCAAAAAATTGATTTGGGGAACTTGTGGTTAGAAGTGGTGATAGAAATCAAGACTGGTTTGCGGGAAAGGCGAGCTCTTGAGTGGAAAGAAACTGAAAGGGGGAAGAATTTGTGTTCTGTAGAACATGAAAAAGATAGCAATGAGGGAGAAGGCGGACTTGAAGTTGTGGTGACGGTCATCATTTCATAGCCAGGCCAGCAAAGAGAGACGGAGACCCTCAACTATTGCTTGTCAAGATCTCATCATAGTACATAGACAGACATTCGAAATTAATGGATAAGTATTAGTGCATACATACATACATACATATATATATATATATATATATATATATATATATATATATGCACTATATGATAATCTTTTTCATTAAATTATAAGTCTATATTATGTGTGTACTGTGTATGTATTCATCCTGATTTGTACCGAAACCGATATTTAATATCTCAAACCACATTGAATCGAAATTTCATGAGCGAGATCAGTATGATGTAAAATATCATACTGAACCAAAATATTTGATATGATAGTGTACCATGCTCACCTTACATACATTACTGTCAAACAACATACTGGCGTGATAGTCATTGGTGGAACTTGAAGCTCAATGGAGAAGATGAATATGAGAAATATGGTGTGTAGGTTATAGATGGAGGGCCTTTTTTTACATGGATTGCAACTTTAATTATAATAGAAGAGGGGCTTAGGATTAGGGTTTCGGGCTTCTCCCATTGACCGCATCCAATATCTTATAGACTTCATCACAAGCCCATCAGTTCCTTTGTGAATACAAAATGTTTACAGAGAAATTTTACTCTGCCGCCGTTCTTTCAAACTCCTTAATCACAAACTTCTTATTCTGGTGTTCTTTAAAGGCTCTTCTAGTGTAGGTCTGGGACATAGTGCATAGAGCTTGGATCATGAGTTCTTCTTGATGTCCCCCGATCAGCTGCTGAAGTAGTTTCTAGCATTGTGTAGCCGCCGGTGTGCCTCTCTTCTTGCATCTCTATGTTCGACAAAGCTCACAACTCAAGGGTCCCTGGTATTCTTACCTCAGGCCTCCTCGCCTCGTTTCTTTCTATTTTCCTAACCACATGGAACAACACAATTCATTTTCTATTTTCTTATTTATTTATTTTTTTATTTTTTTCCCCTTTTGTATCTATTTTTTTTCTTTGTTTCTTTTCTTAAAAGATTTTTTAGTTTCCATTCTAGTCTTTTAAATAATGTTTTAAAATTTTAAAATTATTGTGTTTGAAATAAAAAATACAGAGTGCATGAAAAAAAAACTTCATTTATCTCAAATTAAACAATTTCATTTTTCTTTTTCAAAAACGAGGCGAGCAGCCTCAGAATCCCCATAGATAATAAAATAAAAAGAAATGCTTATTGTGTCACAAACAAATAAGAGTAAATTCCATAAAAAGTTCCCAGTTATAGGTCGTTTTACATATTTAATCCCTACATATCAAATATTACTAATTTAGTCCCCAATTATAATATTCATTTTCACGAATGGTCCTTTGTTAACATTTCTGTAAAAAACCTAGATAAAATTGAAAACTCACACTCCTTTACCTCCTCAAAGGGTTTGAGTTCAAAGCTTCAAACTCAACGACGGATTAGTAATATTTGATATGTAAGGACTAAATATGTAAAACGACTTATAACTGGAGACCTTTTATGGAATTTACTCAATAAATAATTACTCATCAAATGCCCCTTATTAACAGTTGCTTAAGATGAACAGGCTCTCATGAGGTCATCTTTCATTTGGTGATTTATACATTCACTCACTTTGCATTTATATACACCTCATAAATCACAGTAATAAAACACACACAACCAAAAGAACAAATGAAGCAAAATCCAAGCACCATATATTACAAGAGGAGAGCACGTAAAACGCTCTTCTTAGAGCGGTTGAGGGCGAGATTGGACAATATATACTTCATTTCCTACCAAACACCCTTCGACATCTTGAGGGCAACCGAACTTGCGCTCCAGGAAGAAACCAACCGTTCCGAGTCGCTGCCCGAGCTGCCCCCTAAAAATGGGGTCCACCGTCAGTGGCTTCTTGCTGTAATCCACAGTGAGACGAACGACTTCTCCATCCGGTGACCCAGAGTCATGCACAACCAGCTCCTGACTGAAATTGGCAAATGCCAATGTCTTGACCTTGCCATCAAACTTCCCACTTGAGAGGCGCCAGGGTGTGCCCCTTGTGCCAGATGCAAGAGTTTCCCCTAGTCCTGGCGCGATTTCTGCCTCCACGGAGTTATGGTCGCGGTCCGTGGGGCTTAGGGTGTGGAGCACAAAAGAAAGGTCTGGGGAGAGCATTTCTTGCACCAGTACAGCCATGGCAGCATCCTTTTGGGGTACCCCAGCAGCTCTGCGACTCAAAACTGCCCTACGGGTGTAAAGTGAGGCCCAAACACGGGCTACACAACTCCCAAACACACTAGGACTTGAAGGGCTGACATTGGGAATTGATTCATATAGGCCGGCAGCGGACATCCCAGCCAGGTCCTCGACATTAGCACTGGAGCGCACGATCAGCCTTGTGTTCCCAGGAAACATTCTTCCCAAGGTTTCTATGATGTTTTTCGGAGGCTTTAGTGAAGAGATCAGTTTCTGGAGTTCATTACATAGTCGATCAAGTTCACCGCCCTCCACTTGAGCTGTTTGTATCTGCTCCACTAGAGACTCAAATGTTCCCATGGAACTGCTTTGCTCAAGAGCCATCTCCATGCAGCCAAAGGGTATAACAGCTCCGGCAGGCACTTTAAATGAAGCTGGGACCCCTAGATCGCTGTAAACTGTGATTAAGGGAGATGGATAAGAGGATTAACAAGAAAATATGAACATAAGATATGAATTCTTATTTTATAGACTCCGTTATGGTTTTCTTTTTCATGGAAAATAAACACTATTGTGCTTCTTTCAAGAACGAAACTACACTTATAGAGTTGACACGAGTCTAAAAAATCAAGGCAAAGTTCTGCGGAAGAAGCAATGCAAAACTACTAGAAACTTTTTGAAAGTGACGTGCACCATGTCCTGCAACCATTTGGTAGTATCATTTTGATGTCTTAACTCATAGTAAATGTATATCACCCACAGAGCAATGGTCCTCCGAACGGTCCCACCAAAAGGTGTGACGTATGCAAACCTTACCTTCAAATTTTGCAAGAGGTTCCTTTAGTTAATTTATATCACCGAGTATTATAAAATAACCGTAATACAACCCGTTAATGTGTAATAAATGTATGAAGATCATTTTCAGAGCTAATGCACCTTTCTGAGAAGCCAATGCCAAAGAGGCTAAATGAGCGCAGGCAACAGCTTTTGCCCCAGAACTTTGTATATCCGCATCAGCAAGCGACAAAACACCTCTAGTAGCATCTACCTGAAAAGGAAGTTTATCAGCTTTTTGATTGAAGACTATATAAAGAATAAGTGATAAACATTTTTGTCAAACACAACAATTACTCAATTAGCACGAAAACAAGCTCACCTGTTCTGGAAAAGAGGGAATAACCGCTGAAGAACTGGTCTCCACCGCAGCCCCATTTTTAAATGAATCTTCTGTGAAGAAGCTGGTGCTGTTCTCTTGTGATGAGGGGGTTAACTTCACACCTGTTGATGACGCCTCTAGCCTGAAAAATTAAGAGAAAGATTGTCTCTCCTTGATGGAAATGAAGATGAGAGAAGACGAACAAAAAACGAAAACAAAAACAGCACATTTTTAACTTCTATAACATATAACCTGACATATTCTCCAATCAGTCTTTGCAAATTCACAACTTCATCTTCATCTTCGCAAGTCACAAATGCTACCTTTTCCTACAAACCCAAAAAAACACAAGATTCCACGAATGTACTTTGAAGGAAGAGAAGGTGGTGGGAACTACAAAAAAACAAACAAAACTTGCCTGGCGGGCCCTAACCCCCAGATGAGATAGATGAGGCAACTCTTGCAGAAGTATGATGCCAGCTATATTACTCCCAACAGTTGATACCTGGAAGAGTAATGGTTACCGTTCAGTGTATCAGTTGTTGACTAATGTTATTCTGAGAAAATTGCGTGTATAGGAAGAAAAGTATCTTTTGACAAAGCTTTCAGATAGACATTAGAAACCTCTTCATCCCCGTCAGCCTTGTTGACGACAAGGATAACAGGTCCAGTTGCAGATGATGGCAGTGAACCTGGGACAACTCTATCAACCTGGCATTGAATTATTCAGTTACCATTCGTCCAAATACACTTCAGATGAACAAACAAAAGAAGCATAAACAAATGCAATGGTTAATGAGCTCAAAACATACTATGAAGATAACAACACAAATGTATTATTGATGATTGTATGCTCAATGAATCATGGCTAGTAATATGCGTGAGAATATGCAGCAGTCACCTGTACCAACATTCCATACGAATCTCCAGAAACGAGGACATCCCACCCATGGGACCCAAGCACTCTTCTGACAGACTTTAGAAGTAGGGTACACAACTTTGAAACCTGAAAAACCACTCTGGACATAAAATGTGCAATAAGAATTAGTTTTAAATATTTTTCTTTGATAATGATCACCAAGTAATAGTCCAACTGAGAACTAAAACCTTCACACATTAAAAACTAACTTTACAAAAATGAAATAAGAAAAACTGTATGTAACTATACCCAGCACGGATTTCAGCTTCTGTGTACGTTCTCACACTATTCTCAGGGACTCCCAAAGCTTTGCCTAAAATCTACAAGATTTGGATCGAGTTGAATACATAATTGATAAAACAAGATAATCAATCCTCTTGAGTAATAATAGCAGTCAAGAATAAATGATTCAATTCTCAATGCACTTAAATAGCCAAAATATACTTGTTTAGTACGGAGCATATATTCTAACATGAGATTTTCATGAGAAAATGTCAAAATGATGTCGAATAAACTCAATATAATATTCAGGTGAATATGAAAATGATAATGCAATGGCAGACTAAGCTCAAAGCAATCAAGACCAAAAAATATTGCACTCCCTCTGTCCCAAAAAAAGTCTTGTTTATGGTACAACGATATTTTTGTAGTCAACTCAACCAAGGTACAAGTTTTCAAAAATTATGAAAGGTCATCATAGTTGTGAATGGCGAATGGCGAGTGGCGGGCGGTTAAATGGAGAACACACACACACACACACATATATGTATGTATGTATGTATATATATACTCCCTCCGTCCACAAATAAACTTTACATTACGCGTTACGATGTTTGACTGAAGTTATTTTCAAATCATTTTATATGAAAAATGGTGTAGAATTGAAAAATAAAAATTACATATAAAAAAACTATATCAAAAGATCTATAAAACTAGAGGTGACATGACTATATTATTTTATCAAATGGGTGACGAAAATAGGTCAACAAAGTGAATAAAGTTTGACCCTGTGAATAGTGAACGTAAAGTTTATTTGTGGACGGAGGGAGTATATATATATCTTTTAGTCTTAAACATAGTGAATATCTATATATAAGACTTAAAGAATGTAAAAAAATATCTATAAGAATTTAATAATACACATAGTGACGTGTGAATTTAATAAGACAATAAGAAACAATAAAAAACAAAAATAATAAGTCACATGTGAATTGCAATTGTGTCAATGAACTAGTCAAGCGAACAAGAGATTAAACAAAAATCATATAATAATTGTAATAAACATCATCATTAGACATTATAAGAGTTAAAAACATTATAAAAATAAATCAATTAAAAAGTAAGAATAACCTAAGGAGGACTCAGAAGCGATAAGGATGGTAGTGGCCTGGACTTCCGTGTGACTTGTGCTGCGATTGAGCATGATAGTAAAAAAATGGGTAGAATATTGAGTTCANATAAGTCACATGTGAATTGCAATTGTGTCAATGAACTAGTCAAGCGAACAAGAGATTAAACAAAAATCATATAATAATTGTAATAAACATCATCATTAGACATTATAAGAGTTAAAAACATTATAAAAATAAATCAATTAAAAAGTAAGAATAACCTAAGGAGGACTCAGAAGCGATAAGGATGGTAGTGGCCTGGACTTCCGTGTGACTTGTGCTGCGATTGAGCATGAGATAACAAATTTTTTGCTGGCGATGGAGTCTAGGAGAAGAATCTACTATGCTAAAGAGACTCCGGAGCAATTTCCGAGACTTGCACGAGTTCGATCGTAAGTATCGAAGCGACACGCAAGAAGAAACGTGATTAAATAGGTCAAGGTCAGTTTAATTTTTTTTTAAAATTGACCAGACGCAAAGCGTAACTGGCGCACACCAATCGCCATAAATCCTGGCGTCCATGGCGACCGCCTATGGCGCGCCTCGCGTAATTCGCCACGCCAGAGTTAAGAGAGGCGGAAACACCTCGCCACAGCGCCTTTGGCGCCATAAGCGTTAATGGCGAGCGCCATTCACAACTATGAAGGTCATAATTATGAATAGTCACAAATTATAACAACAACAACAACCCAGTTAAATCCCACAAGAGTAGGGTCTGGGGAGGGTGTGTGTACGCAGACCTTACCCCTACTTGAAAGTAGAGAGGCTGTGTAGTCACAAATTATACATGGACAAAAATTATAAATGGTAATTTATACACCTAAAACCTATTTTCATACTTCGTTGGAGTAATTCACTAAAACCGCTTGGAACTTGGTTTTGAAGGGATTTTACATAAAAATGAAAGGTGATATATCGGACTCTTGTTTTGGAAAAAAGTTTCTTGAGATAGAACTGCATATTTAGGACAGAGAGTTTTTAGAAATTTACAAAACAGATTATGTTTTATTAAACAATGCAAAACCCATGATGCATAAGCAAAGAGTTACACCTGGACTTTCTCTGGTAATAACAGAAGTAGTGCCTCAGAGTACTCTTCCGTCAGCCTCCTACATCTGTCAAGAGTGGCTTTAAGTCTAAGTGCCCAAATCGACTTACCATCTTCATCACCTTCAGTTAAAGAAGTAAAAAAAGGCCTTAATAATTGCAAACATGCAATCAATAACCACAATGAACTATTGATGAGAACACCAAACCTTCCGTATCTAAAAAGCCCATCTCTTTCCAAGAAAAAAGCTCATTTGTAATTGCTTTGCATTCCTCTGACTTCCAACCAGACAGGCCAAGTTGGTGAATGCCAACTATAAGACCTGCAATTGCCTCATTCCACATGATGCTATTTGTTGGGCCCACATTTTCTACGTGCCAATTCGCTCCTCCCAGAGCTTCGAGTGCGTTAATAAACCTATAGAAATAAGCATTCCAAGATTAAATTTCAAAAATATGAGGCTTGGGTGCACTTTTTTTCTATGAGAAGGTAGGGAACTAGAGACAGGTGCAATTGACTGAGCAGGATGCACCATGCAGAGTCAACTATGTAGCTATCAGTTCACCAAATAGCGACATAGAACATAAGGAGCATAGGCTATTATCTCCACATTAGAAAGCATGAAAAACATATTCTCAAAACCAATACTATATTTTCATTATCACAATTATCATATACAAATGAAAACTGTGACCAGTATCTATGTTAACAACATCATGTCCAAAAAATTAAATTGAACTTAGTATGTTAACCCTCAGTCCCTCGTGAATCCAGGCAGAAACTATTAAAAGAAGCCATAATGCAGATAAGCTTTAGCAAACAATATATACCTGCTCATAAGCACAAATGCATAGTCTTCTAGCCCGACCTCAGAAAGGCGCCACTGCAGGGTGACCATAATGCATAACTTTAGTTTGATTTGCAAAAGATGGGAAGCTTCTATTTAAGTACACATTACAAAACGATACCAACCTTTTGGCGCATTGCAATTGCGGAATCAGGTGCATCATTTCTAAGGCCACTTTCAAGACCCTTAACCAGTACCTCACGGAGAGCACATAAAGATTGTAATGCATTGACCAGCAGTAAAATTACTCCATCATGAGAATCATTACTTATTTCACCCACTTTATCCAAGGCCTAGACAGACGAATGAATCAAATGGGGGAAAAAATTGCCTTGACTATTGTATGTCATGACAAGTAACAGTATACCAAGATTGGGAGACCGGAAAAACAGAAAACACTCTTTTTTTAACAGAACATAATTTTTTTAGTAAAACTAATAACTAATACTCCCTCCGTCCGGAAAAGAAGTACCCATTTTGACTTTTGGTCATTTTTATTGGGTATTGACTTTGGGAAGGAAATGTCCACAATACCCTTATTCCCTTCCCTCATCCTTCCCTGTTATCTCAACACTGCCTTCCCTACCCACACAACCACCGCCACCTCCCAATCGCCCCATTGACCCAACCCACGCCACCACCGTCAGCTCCACCCGCCGCAGGAGCTTTCCGAGGAAGCAGATCTGGAGGTGTAGTTCAACCACAGAGCTGACCCATGAATTTTAACAAGATCTAGGCAGAGGAGGAGAAGCAAAACAAGAAATTTCAAAGAAGATGGTGCAAATCGCCACCGCCGTCAGCTCCACCCGCCACCATTGCCACCGCCGACACCATCGCCGGCAACCCCCGCACAAATGGATCTCCAGATTTTTTAGATCTGAAAAAAACAAACAAGGCTAGATTTAGCGAGAAAAGGGAAGAAGGGGGGATAGGAGAGAGAGCGGGGAGATGAAGGCTAGATTTAGCGAGAAAAGGGAAGAAGAAGAAGAAGGAAGAGGAGGAAGATGACGAGGAGAAGAAAAGGAAGGGGGAGAGGAAGAGAGAGAGAGAGAGAGAGTGGAAGAAGAAGAAGGAGGAGGAAGGAAGAGGAGGAGGAAGATAAAGAGAAAGGACGGGAAAGGAAGATAAAAGGGGGAGATGAAGAGAGAGGGAGAATGCCTGTGCGTGGGATGGCAGAGGAAAACCGGCCGAGAGAGAAAAAAGGGACGGGAAAGGATGAGAAGGAAGGGGTAATTTAGGAAGATTGGGTATGAAAACGTACAATGGGAACTTCTTTTCCGGACGGAGAAAAGCGTAGAATGGGAAGTTCTTTTCCGGACGGAGGGAGTAACAAAAATTAAATTCGGTAACAATCTTTGGATGTTAAGTATCCCACAAATTCTATGCTTTCCAAGTCAAAGGAGGCTAGAGAATATACATTTTAAAAAATACTCCCTCTGCCCCGAATTAATCTTCATGCTTTCCTTTTTGGGTTGTCCCAAAATAATCTTCACACTACTTTACTTTCCTAATAAATTAAAGAATATCTGGTCCAAAACTCTTCTCTTTTTTCTAAACAAATTTCAACCACTCACTTTTACTTTTCAACATTCTTCTTTAAGTCTGTGAAGTCAAAGTGATTCAATTAATTCGGGACGGGGAGTGTACATCAATAAACCTTAATAATTTATTCTTTTCTAACTGCTTTAATTAGTTTGGCATAGCCAAAGAGATCTGTCATTACTCACTAAACCTAGGCACTTAGTTTCTACAGCAAACCAAACACACTTTTTTAGAATGCTCAAAAATCACAAAGGCAGCATAAGTTAATATATGAATTAATGGAAACAATCCATAACACCTCAACAAGAGGCTTGAAATAAATTTCACTGCATGGCACAATGTTGTTCTGCTATGTAGGGACTAGTAGAGTAATTATAGACCATTAGCAGTAGTGGTTCCAATTTCTTAGAACAGTTAAAGGAAGAGCCTTTGCAGTTAATCTGTTATTCCTATTGAATGGGCATGAGATCATTGTCCCAAGTATTCGGTGAAGGAGTTTGATGAGAACTCAATAACATCTACTGCTTTATCTCTATTAAATAATTCACAACCTGTCACTATTTCATCCCTTAGAATTTGCAGTACTTATTTGAAAACTTGTCAGTCCCCTAACTAATCCATACATAAATCCAATGTGCTTAATGTTTCCTAGAACGCTTTCCTAACAAGCAAAAATGATTTATGGAGTATTTTGTTTTTTAAATAACAGATCAAATGAATGGAACAAACAAAAGCATGAACAAGTTAATTCAAGACTCTGACTCATGATATAGACTGGAGAGAACTGCTTGCCTTTTTAGACTCGGAGAACAATGAAAGAATTGATAGGCCCCTTTCATCCAATGATTCCCTTATAGATTCCAATTGTTCTTCAAGGCTGACAGAGTAGACAGAAAGATGTCACTTCAAGTTATAATAATTATAACTTCACACTAAAACACTTCAGTCACTTCAATTCCCCATAATCGGGTTGTTCATATTCTCATAAACATTACACTATTAAACCATTTCAAATGATATGAAAAAAAAAGCTTTTCCATCTGCTCCTTCACTAATAATAGCCCAATGCTAGACCTAGCCCCTATGCCTCTAATCGTCCAAGGAGGATGATCTCCAGGTTCTGAAAAAAACAGCACTAAACTATACAAACGGTAGGGCTATTTGATAAAGACAGAATTCAATTATAATATACCTTGCAGCATTGAAGAAATCTTTTAATTCATGATGGAATATCCTGAACTGTTCTATAAAAGCTTCACTATATTCTCGGGGGTTTCTAGTTATCCTTTCAAGCATTAGCTCAGTTGCAACTAAATCTTCAGGGCCAGCATTGCGATGAAGCTTGTTCTGTATTGTATGTTTGATTTCTTGCTGACACCCAGGCAAAGGTTAGTAACAAAAATAACTAAGATTTTGTCAAAATCCAGTAAATAAAATGAAAACCTTAAGGTCATGAGGGATGTCATTTCTATGAGCAATATCCCTGATTCTTGTCAAGGGGACAGCTGCAGTAAACTCAGCTTTAAAGGAAGGCAAACATGGATGAATTTTACGGATTATAAGTACTTCCTGCACAGGAAAAAAAGTGTCTAAGTGATAGGTAGAAGCAACCTCCGTCACAAGGAGATAGATTCAAAGAGCTAGAGTTGCTTTTCCTTTACAATTCAGAAATTAAGTTTTTTGTTCTTTAATGCCTACTATAACAGAACAAATTAGCAGCTGAAAATCTATTACAGGATATAAAGCAAATACAACGGAGAAAAAAGAGCACTCTCCTAGCATCACGAAGAAATGTTCAAAAGTACGAATTTTATGTTTGAATACTAGATAATACTCTTACAAAGAATTATCATCATCACTATCTTTATTCTTAGGCCGTGTTTGGGAACAACGTCTTTTATTAGCATTAGCATATTCGATAAAATATTAATGGTGTAGATTAACTTTGGAAATGATAAAGTTAAACGATGCTGTTAAATAGACTTCTACAAAGAATTTGGGTGCCATTCCATCCCCAAGTACCCACACAGGGAAGTTTCAAGGACAAAGTGGCACTTGTTTGAAGAATCTGTGCAGCAACATAGCTGGTTGCCGCGTTCTACAACAGATAATACAGATGGAAATATGAAACGGCAACATTGTTTTCTTCATACTTGTATAGAAAACTTCTTGGGGTGACAATGAGGTTAAATGCTTATTGTGGACATGTATTGTAGAAAAATATTCCAAGAACATATCTGTGTCACTTATCATAAAGTATAAACAATCTATCTCACAGAAGAGGAACAAGAATAACTTAAAGTAGGATTATATGAAAAAATCTATGTAATAGGATCAAGAATAGGAAGTTTAGGAACAAAGTAGGAACAAGAATAACTTATCAGCCATTATATCACGCATATACATTTAATATCACAAAACTACAATNCCCCCCCCCCCCATGCACACACACACGGGGAGATGGAGGAGGGAGGAAAAATAGAATGGGAGGCACAGGAGGAGAAAGAGAACCCTGACATTATTCACAATACAAACCAAACACCAAATTTCATCGATCACACCTAACCGCATAACTTCTGAACCCCATTACCAAGTCCAACCCGACACCTAAATTATGACCAAATGGCCCCTTAGTTTTTAGGAATATGGATTTGTTAAAGAAATCTTTTATGAAAAAAATACAAAGTACAAATCTAGAGCTATAAACCATCATTAGAAATGACAGATTGAATTTCATTTTTTAAGGTTTGAAGAGGGGACGCTGCTAAAGTATAACTCAAGTGGAAACAAATGCCTTCCATTATGATTTTCTTGCAAGGAGATAGAGAAGAGAGAAGGGAGGCCACATTCTCGCTATTTGGATAGGAGAGAAATATGGGAGAATAGAGAAGAAGTGGGGAATGTGGCAGTTTTCTTCTCCTCTAAGATGCGAAGAAAGTTGGAAAAATTGTAGCCATCTTTTATGGTTCGTTTTTTCCCTCACTTTCTTTTTAGATTTGAAGGTGCTTTTGTATCTTTAAAATAGTATACACTTCATTCTTTTCTTTTTCTCTACTAATTATCTGATTTATCTCATGCCAAACAATAATAAACATAATCAACTCTTTATTCTCAATTCCTTTTTGTTTCCCCTCAAACGTCATTCTCTCTTCGGTCTTTGCTAATTCTCTTATCAACCAAACAAAGCATGAAAGTGCAGAAGAAAAAGTTGTAAAGTATATGATGGATTAGGCTAACATTCAATTTGATGATAGACCACCTGAAGTGATGTATCTGTCCTGCCCATGATTCTTTCTAGTTCACAGAATATGAGCCTAGAGATGTCAGCATGCCTATTTGGTCTATGATGGCCCCCATCTTCAAAGCAAGGAATCTGCCCTGTGTTTATCCACTGCAAATAAGAGCAGGGCATGTTTCAGTATGACGATATAAAAACATTATTTGATTCAAGGATGCAAATCAATAAGATGTCATCACATAACCTTCATATAGATAGCTGAATATGTAAGAGCCTCCAAGCGGTATGCACTTTTGGCATTCCCCGCAATTAGATCACACACAACTTCAAGCTATAAAAATAAATGAAATAACAAGTTTAAATGTTAGCAAATGAATCATTTAGATTCAAACAGCAATTACTCCTGTTTTTAAAAGAAGTGTGACAATATTAAAGAGTACAGGAATTAAACAATCTAAATGAATGCCTTTTGGTGAAGCATCTTCCTTTCTTCACAACTAGTTCATTTACTAACACCAACTCAGATAAACCTAAGCACCTCCCTACCTTAATTTCACTTGTTTATAGATATCTTTGAGTTAAAATAAACTAAAATACTCCAACGCGTCAAACGATAATAAGTCCATGGTGCAAACAAGTTTGCGATCATCAAAAACTTTTTACTCACCAGTTTCTCATTAAGTTATCATCACTGCAACAATGCTATAGATGGTGCTGGGAAAAACATATGTTATGTTTCATGTTTCCGAACATGCTTTATATGCTTCCCAAATTAGAATAACAGGTAGGAATGTAGGATGATACATTCAGGAAATGTATTTTTCAATATCATATTTGCATTAAACCATAGAGAGCTGATCATCTTAGAGACTCATTAGTCATCATAACTTGAAGGAATTAAAAAAACAACACTAAAATCTTAATGTGCTGGATATAACAGCATGAAATCATAGGAAGGAAAGACAATCTGCAAGTGAAGAGCGAAAAATCATTAAGAGTGCAATACTAAAAATCTAAAACCACGTTATGAAGTTGTGATATCACATAGATTCTAGAGTACTTTAAAATAGCAATACCTTTACAATGGAAAAATATAGTTCCTTCAGCTAAAATCAAGAGCATTTTTATGTACAAATGGAGGGGTTTTGCTTTAATTTTACCTTTCGCCACCAATTTCGAGAATTCTTGTCGCTTTCCACTAGCTTTAAAGGAATCCCTGAAAGCCCTGATGTGTCCCACTTCCTATCCTTTTCCAAGTCCAGCTGATCCTTTGAACGTACAAAGGAAGCAGCCTTCCCTTGCCACTGTTCCACAAATGCACTCACTGGAACATTCGTCACAGTATGATCTTCAGTAATTGAAGATATATGTCCACTCGGCTTATCTGCTTTATATTCCTGTTCCAACCCCAAGGGCAACAATTCAAGAGGCTCAGATGTCATGTTCCATTGGCAAACAATCTCAAAAGTTCCTGCTCTTGGAAGCTTCAAGACCCGGTTATCCCCCATTTCCCAAAGTAGATTCTTATGCTTTCCCACAATTACAAATTTGAAGTCTACAGGCTCACCCCCCTTTAGTTCCAATTCCAAGACCCAACCTTTTTCTGTCCAGCCCATCACCACATTCTTCTTCCACAAACCCAGTTCTTTTGTTGATCCAAGAATTGCAATATGCTCACCATATTCAACTTGGCGATCAATCCATATCTTTACCTTAACCTTTTCATGAGCTGATCTAGACCGGCTGTTCTTTTCTCCTCTCATCTCACTGTCACGCAACCAATAAAAAGTAAAAATCAACACATCTCAGATTCAGCAAGCTAAATATCTAAAGCATCAACACACCCACCTTGCACATAAACCACAACACTCCTTTGATGTGAATAATAGAAAATGCAAGAACAAACTATGCTTGAATAATTTATTACATTAAACATTAACCCATTTTCCCCATTGCTACAAAAATGCAGCACACAATAAATTTGCAAAAGTTTTGTTTTTCTTTTTCACTTTTTACTGAAAAGCCAATCTCCCAAAAATACTTTAGAATGTCCCACGTTTGCTAATTCCACAATCCACATTGTGCACATCATTTGTAAATTGTTTACTAAGTACTAACCAATCAAAAACATAAAATTTACAACAAAAAAATCAAATTATCAGATTTCCTCAAGAACAAAAAAAACCTGGTTTCAACAGAAGATGCACCACATATGACTCCAGAGGATCTAGTGGGTCGGCATAAAATGGAGCCAGTGAGTCTTTGGGACTCAAATATCAATCTGGGTTCACTGGATTTCAATTTCCAGACGCCCCTGGTCGAGATATGGCGGCCCGTGTATGCAAATTTGGCATTGGCAACAGAATAGCAGTGCAAAGCGCGCGCAGAGTCCATTGAAATAGAGCGTGGAGCAGAGTGGAAAGAGCCTGTGTTAATTTAAACCAGTGATTCTTGGGTAGATTGTGGAGTAAACGAAAGTCTAAGGATTGCTTGAATGGTGGAAGAAAGAATATAAGGAGTAGATAGAGAGAGAGCATTAAGATGTCAAGTTTTGGTCGTTTCTGCAGGGAAAACATCAGAAAATTACTAGCCCGAGTTTTGTCTAAATAACTTCAGGTCTCTCTATTTTTAAAAAACAACTGAGGTCCTTATATGTAGTTGTAATGATTGGGAGGAGACATTTCATCCAATACATCATCCGTAAGTGTTAATAAATGTATTTTTTTCCTATTTTCCAATACCGTTTTTTCTTATTTTGCCATTACCTTGTTTTTTCTTTTTTTAAATTTTTTTTATTTCATTTGTTTTAATATAATACAAACAATTTTGAATTTTTATACGATTTTATAGAAGAAATTCTAAAATAACACTTTAAAAAATAGTAACAAAATGAAAGAAAAACAAAGAAATAAAAAAAAGGAGCGACCTAAGATTTATTACCTTAAAACATTTAGAAAAGAATAAGAAAAAAATACATTTATTAACGTTTATTGATGAAATATTGGATAAAATGTCTCCTTCCAGTCATTACAACAAAATGTAAGGACCTCTGCTGTCTTCTTGAAAATAGAGGAATCTGAGAGTTATTTCAACAAAACTCGCGTCACCGGTGAGTAATTTTCTGGGGAAAACATTGTTTATGCCCCAGCCACTTCTGGTCCCCATAACTCAGAAAAAAGAATCTAAGTCATGGTGTAAAAATGTCATTGGGATGCACAAAACTTAAAAGGCTCGTAATTATGAGCTGCTGAGTCACAGCATTTGGAATGGGACATGGCCTTGCTCCATTTTCTGTCACATTGGCCGTTTGAAAAACAACTTTTCGAATACATGACTGATTTTGGTTTTTTAGAAAATGCTACTCATTTGTATCCCACTCCATCCCGACCATACAAAAATAAGATAGAAAAAAAATTAAAAATAAAAAAAAGACGTGAAGAGTGAAAATGCATGGTGTACAAATAGGGTATACTTTTTTGTGTACCCTAGCATTTCTCTATCTTTTTTACCCTATCTTAAAATACTTGCAATCTTATCGTCTTCTAGTTCTTCTTTTCTTTTCTTTTACGTTATTTGCCATTTTTAATTAGAAATTCAAATAAATTTAATTAAAATATTTTGTATTAATAAAAATAGATGAATAATTATAAAATAGTACTATGTAAAAATAATTACTACAAAAATAGTAAGTAAAAAAAATATAAATATAAATTCAAAATTAACAAAAATAAATAAAAAGAATACCAAAAAGTAAACTTCGCTCCTCCACTTCCGAATGATGAGTAATTGTATTTTTTAGTTGTATTGGGAAATAATTGTATTTCTAATTCTTCTTTTTTATCGCATCAATGTAAATTTGATTTTAATTTTATTGAATTATTTATTTAATATTATTTATTTAAGTTAATTATGATTTTTAAAAAAAAATTGTGCGTGAATCACACTCACGTGATGTGATGGGCAGTGATGGAAAAGAGAAAAGCTAGCATGGCACTAAGTGGGATGGCGTGATGGGTGTGATCCATCACACCACACCAAATGGTCTTACGTCTTTTCAATAATTTTTTTGTTTGTATGTTTTCATTGATCATTTGATAAAATAAAATATTCTTGTCACCTCTAGTTTTGTAAAATTTTTATGTATTTTTGAACGAGGTAATTTATATTTTTCATATTACTAATTTATAATTAAAATGATATTAAAATGATTGAATTTATCACGTTATTTAGAGTTTGTATCCATTGTGGGACGGAGAAAGTACATGAATAACCCTTAAGTACGATCCACTTTTTGTGGAACATGTTTGGGATTGAAACTCCATGTGCGTGGGGTCGAGTCGTGCGACCCTCCCTAAACTTTCCCTGGTCACCACTCCATTAGGGCACGGGACACGAGGCCGAAAGTAAGTATACATTTTTCTTCGAAAGCAAACGGAAAGCTTTTTTTTATTATTGAAATAAATATTTTTCCTTTAGAAAATTAACCTACTGTTTATGTTATAAGTAACAAATTGTACACCGCCCCTCTCCGAGAGTCCCATCTCACATATCTCATCTTGGATCTTAATCAAAGTTAAATCTTGGATAAAAAATATGTGGTTGAAAGACGTACGGTGTATAATTTAGGTACAATTTGATTTACCACTAAAAAAATTTCAAAAAATATTTTTCTCCAACCAAACACAACCTAAATTTACTCTAAATAAAGTCTCAATATCTTTTAGTGCGTATCTATATTAAGCAAAACATTTATTCCCCTTATGGATTTATCTCAAAGTTAAGTTCTTAATTTTTTATCATGTTTATTTTCTGTGTAAGAAACATGTTTACTCCCTAACCAATTACTCCTTTCGTCCCAACATGAACAATATACCTTGTATAAACAATCTTCTAATCATTTCTATGTTGAACAACACAACGGTTTTTTTGATCGTTGTGTTGTTGAATATGGAAATGATTAGAAAATATTATTGAAAATAGAATATTTTTCTATGAAAGCATTAATCTACTAATTATGTTATCAAATGTAGAAAATTAGAATTGAACTTTCAAAAATGTTTGAGGTACAACAAGTTGTACACCGCCCCTCTCCTAGAGTCCCACCTCACATTTCTTATTTAGGATCTTAATCAAAATTGAATCTTGGATAAAATATGTGTGGTGGTGTAACGCCCCGAAACATACCCTAGAATTATTATTAAATAATTATTCGATTGAACAAATTTGTTTTGATTATTATTGGGCTTTAGGCCGATATGAAATATCAAAAATCTGGATAAGTCTAATCGAGATAAATCCAATATGTGGACTATTTGTGTGGTCTTAATTGGGAACCTGAGTACAGACCCAAATCAAGAATAAATAAATTAATTAATTATGATGTGAACTTTGTAATGATTTATTGAAATAAATCATGAGAATAATTGATATGAATTAAATGAGAGAACCTTTTATGAGAAAGGTCAATTAAACCAATTTTGGCTCTGTTAAAGTCAAACACCCAAAAATATGATGTCGGAAAAAGTATTACAAATAATTATGAAAAGTATATCGCTGGATAGAGCTTGACTGTCTGACCCCAACGGTTCAATCGGATTTCAATTTGGAGAAAGTTGGACCAAAAAGTATACCCCGACTGGGACCAAATATTAGTCCCAATCAGGGACTACACACCAAACGGCGCCCTGTTCAATTACGCCGATTCCAAATCGCCGCACAATCACGGAAGCAACCAAGCCTGTGTCTTCTTCTTCTCCACTGGCCTATTTAAGCACAACTCAACTCCCTCAATTCCTCACCAAAAACATTCATTCTTCCTCCTATATTGTTCCTTGCTGAGAGTAGAGTGCAGTGGTGCTGTCATCTTTGTGTGAGGTCGCCGGAGCAGTAAGATAGAGTCGCCGGAAGTTTCGCCGGAAAATCGTCAAAACCTCCCTTACGCTTCGAGGTAAACCCCTAGATATATCTAATGACTAGAATGTTCATATAGGTCGTTTCTACGTTCATAAATGGTCATTTGGTTGAGTTTTGTGTTTGACATGTTTGAAGAACCAAGAATCATAAACCTTGAATTTGATGTTAAAAATATGTTTTAATAATTCTAATATGATCTATGAACCTTGGAGAACACCTCTATATAGTTTAATTGAAGTTCGGTGACTAAAAATGGTT